TCTGTAGGCAAAGACCGCTGAGCCCACAGATGGTATGTAGGAGCAGATCAACAAATTAACTTCATGTGCAAGCCAAGCCTTACAACTTTATTTCATATAAATAACACTTAATTGCGGAAGTTGTCTTGGCAATGGCAGATTCAAGTTGTAAGATTTGAGAGGCCTGATCTCAGATATCTTGAAATCCTAGCATCCTAAAATGACACTAACAGATTAATGAATGGAAAATATTCAGATGCTCTTAAAAATCACCCTGAATTTCCTTTGAAGTTAGAAACAAATCATTGATTTTTACAATTTACTTAACATTGGGAAGCATAAAAAACTAAACTAACATCTGTAAAAACTGCTCTCTAAGCACCTCAAGATGCATCTGGTGTATCTATTAATCCATAAACAAAAATGAAATAATCTTACTGAATACTGGAAGTGAAAATCTGACTCCACCAAGGCTTCTGGCAACACTTTGTCACTTGAACAGGGCCAGAATTACAGTCTTGGTGCTTTAATTAGAGGTGGACCAAAGCCCTGTCTCTGTAAAAAAGGTGAGGTCTGAATTTACATTAAATATCTCGGTACGATTTCCAATGTCACGTCTGCACTACATTTTGTTGCTATATCTGGAACCTGTACCTCAGGCAGATACAACCAGGTGTAATTTATTTTAATCAACAGTGCTCTGCAGATTACTGTGCCTGACTCCCTTAAAGGTTATGGAGCATTGACAAGGGGGTTCCTTGAATTAACCCTTGGACTTTCAAAACTGTCTGTTGTTTTGCGTACGACACCTGTTTTGCAACTCCTCTGTGAACACTTAGTGCTTGCTTTCAGTTCTATGAGGCATAAAAGGAATTGTGAACGTCTCGTTCATAGTGTAAAAAACCCCAAAACATTTTAAATTATATTTTTGTAGCATGAGGACTTCTAGGGATGTTTGTTTTCTCAAGAACGTGTTTGACAGGTGGGATTGTTCATGAATTTCAGTCCAAACATTGACAGAGTAAGAAGCCTCTTCTGCTATGTCTCAGAGAAGTTGTGGGTGTCCCATCCCTGGAAGTGTTCAAGGTCAGGTTGGATGGGGCTTTAAGCAACCTGATCTAGTGAAAGGTGTCCCTGCCCATGGCCGGGGGGGGGTTGGACTAGATGATCTTTAAAAGGTCCCTTCCAACCCAAACCATTCTGTGATTGTGTGATTCTGTAAGTATCTTGTGTGATAAGTCCCTGTCACATGCTATTCCTGAACTGTCCTTGAATATAATCTGAAATAGCAGCAGTTGCTAGAAAGGAGCAATGCCTCCCCACTAGGAAAATCACTGGCGATTAAATAGTCTGTACTGTGGCACGCCAGTGTCTCAAGCCCGTGGCATGGTCTTGTTTTATTTCTTCAGAAAATTTAAATGTATTAAAACCATAAATTGTCTTTGTAAAGTGCCAGCTTTTATGATACTTTAACAAGACAGATTAGCACGGCCCAGGGTGAAATTTCGTACCAAAATTAGAGGAAAAGGGATCTGGACCAGCATCAGGACAATCACACAACATTTGAGGAGGGGATCCAGTTTCAGTACTCCTTCCTATGTGTGAATCAGGGAGCTGTTAGGATATTTAGGGAAGTGTACTTGGAGAAGGGGGAACTTGAGAGGGGAAACTTGAATCTGGGTTTAGCCATATCAAAGATGCATGCAATAAAAACTAGCCCTGTTGGTTAACTAGAAACAAGTGGATGTCTTGTTTGTAATCAGGCAAGATTTTACTTTATTTTGGTATAAAATGGAAAAAAAAATCTTGAAATCTCTGTAAGTTTCAGAAAATGGGAAAACTGTTTCCCTTTCAGATTTACCCTTGGCTACTACAGTAACACCCCTGAGGGCATTTGTTCATTTGTCCTTCTGGAACACCTCTCCCAGCTGTTTTTTCCCTGCTCCGTTTCTAGCTGTGTGCATGTACAGCACGCCATGTACAGAATGGTGTGTGACACACATTAATACATATAGATAGCCTTCTGCTTCTGACCTTACAAACTGTCCACTTCAGCACTGTCATTCTATAAAATGTCCAACTGCAGTCCAAGAAATGCATTTTAAATGTGAATGCAAACATTTCTATTACTGATAACACCAGCACAGCATTTTTTGCTTTGCTGGGATTACGACCTTGATAGTTAAAGTTACATTGGAGTAATGACACTCCAAGGTCGCGTCCTTTACTGACATGGCAAAGGAAGGAGGGCCTTTGCTATGTTTCTGCTGATAAAATTAAGAAGAATTATTCCTTGTGTTTGGTGAGATATGTTGAAAGCGAAAGAATATATTTGTGACCCATAAATATTTTAGGTTGCCAAAAACTGGGAGAAATTTACATGTTGCACTGCATGGAAGTTGTATTTAATTCATGCTGAAAGTCAGATTTTAGAAAACATTCTGAAATCTGATAATGATGTAAATAAATGCCTCCCTCCTCAGTGAACAGCCTCCCTTCTCACAGGAACAGTAAAGCAGCTGCAGTTCAGCTAGGGACACCTTAAAAAAATACAAAAGTACTGTGATCTGCAGACAGAAACTCGCAGGCAATTCTGGCTTATAAGGCTAACTCTCCAAACCACAACCTCTGTCTGAATATGCTCCATTGTGCTTCACTTTCATGCCCTGTAAAATGGGGGTAGTAATCTTTATTGATCTGTCTACCTTTTAGGAATGCATTAAGGAGAACCTAAATGATATCTTTACAGTGTTTTGAACAGTTTTGATATATGCAGCTCTTACAATACAGTTTAGTAGGTGGGCTTGCCATTTTACCAGGTCCTCCCACAGGAGAGCTGTCCTGCTTTTTCTTTATGGTTCTCTAGTTTTCCCATCCAAACTTCTTCTAACTGGGCAAGTTTGGTAAATTGATGATGACTTCAGCACTTACCACTTGTTAGCTGAACTGCCATAGCTAACCAAGGGCACTCTTTTCACTCAAGGAGTTGGTTGAAGTTGTCACGTTGTACCTCACAGTTGAGCCTACCTAGAAGCACACTGTCGGGCTGTGACTGCTGAAGGAGCAGTCAGTCATTAGGATGCTGTCACTTGATTGAGTCATATCTTAGCCTAATAACGAAAGGAAGAGGGTGATCCTCTGACGAGAGTCTCATGCCCCTCCAGCTATGCCTGAGTAAGTTGGATATCATTACATGATGCTTTCTTGAGGATGTATTTTCTGGGGTTGTTGTGTATCACTTCTGGTGATTTAAATATGCAGAGGTCTTCGCAGATCCCTGCTATTCTTCACAACACAGTTCATGCATGTACCATTTTTATATCTTTAGCAAGACATTCAGAGTTGTTCCTCTAGTTCTGCACTCTCAGAAAGTAACTTAGCGGTCTGCCCACAAAGCCACTGATGTTTGCACCAAAAAGTTATTTTAGAGTTAATTTTACACTGTATTATACAGTTCCCATTGGTATAATATAAATTAATTGTTGAAATCAGTAGGAATTTTATATGTTTGTTTTGGAGACAAGTTTGCCTTCAAGTTTCATTAGAAACACTTTAGCCTGTTTTGATGAGGAAACTAGTCTTATGACTAGTGTTGTCTATCCTTCTCTCCCTCTTTCCATCCATCCATCTCTCCATACCTACCTAATGGCTTTGAAACAGCTGACCAATTCAACAAAATTTATCAGAAATAAAAAGATCTAAAAAGATGATTAAGCTCCTAAATGGAGTGAGAATCAGCAGATAGACTGAGGAAAGCCACCCTGTTACTATCCCCACTGAGGAAAAACAGGGAGAACTCAAACTCAACCATAATTCACCCTATTTCTCAGCAACCAAGTAGGTCTACACTAGTCAATGTATGTAATAAGGGACAGAGGGCAACTGGGATCATACTGGTGGGGGACCACAGGGACATGCAGTGTGGTGGATGTTGAGGATAAAGAGGAGGAAGCAAGACTTCTGCAGAGGGAAGACTGGAAGCCTTACAATAGGATAGATGTTTTCGGGGGGGGCTGTGATAGAGAAAGTCAAAAGACACATGGTGAAGGAAATAGATGTGTTTTGCTTCCTTTTTTTTTTTAATCTTCCTGTTGCAATAATCCTATGACTTTAGCTTCATTTGTTGTTTTTTGGGGGGGGGAAAAAAAAAAGTTTGGTTTTATTCGCAAGTTTAATCAGAAGTTTGTTTCAGATGCTCTAATACTTGTAAAAAAAGTCTTCCAATGTAGCGTAACTTTCTTCAACCTGACTGACTGAGAAGCTTTCTTACAGTATCTGTTTGACATCTCATCCTAATATTAGTTTTACAGGCACGTTCACATTTTAGGAAATCACTGTATTCTCAAATCTGAGATGCCACAAGTATCTCCTTCTGCAAGTACTTGCCCCAGAACTGTTAGCTAAAATGTTTTATCTAATAGCAGCCCTCCTGTTGTGTTGTACTACTTAGCTGTCATCCAAAAGCAGCTGCATTTTTATGAATGTATCTTAATAAGCCCTGTCCTGAAAGGCACCAGTATCTCTTTGTTCCTCCCTGAGATCGCATGGGAGTAATAGGTGGTCATCTAGAGTACTAGGTATCAGTAAATCAAGGAAAATTACATGAGCACCTCAGTTCACAGTTAATAACATTGTACGGATTAATTGTAGAAAGCAAGACAAACAGACTGATATTTGCATCTATTTCACTCTGTGTTCAGATGAGAGGTAGGAACAAAGCATCATCCAGGGGCCAGAGCACGTTCCAGCATTTGTTTCATACACTCTCAGCCACAGCACATTTGTTGGGGGTGACAGTGGACAGTGGTAAAACATATAGGTGATATGTGATGCGACAAATGAGTTTGAAAATCCTCGTCACCTCAGTAAAGGAACGTTTTTTTCCCACCCTCAGCCTGTCATATCTGTCTCTCTGTGCTTATTTCACCTAAGTTTGATTTAACACACATAAAACAAGTAATTATGTGTGGCAAGCGTATGCGGCATGTCTGCATTTTCCCTTTCTATGTCGTTTTCTCCAGATTATTGGAACAATCCCACTGATGCCTAATCCAGTCCCTTCCAGCCAGGCAGCAGGTGGAGCTCAGGGACTTCAGGTGCAGCCGATAACTCCACAGTTATTGACCAATGCCCAGGGTCAGATCATCGCTACCGTCATCGGCAACCAGATACTCCCAGTGATCAATACCCAGGGAATAACACTATCGCCGCTCAAACCAGGCCAGCAGGTAAAGTGTCTGTAGCCTGAATGATTAGCAAAACAGATGCGCAGAAATCTTCTACTCCTCACGGACTCTTTCATGGCCTTTCTAAAAACTCCCACTTCTTTACCATTTTTAGTAACAAAAGATTAATTCTATTATACATAGTCTATTGGTGCATACTATGTATGTAGTTATAATATAATGTCATATTACATAATTTATTTATACATTCAGGGGTCGTCCTGTTATTCTTTTTTTTTCTTTTAAAGGTCAATATAGGGCCAACTGAGAAATCTTCTGCAGCAAAAGCACAGTAGGAATATGAGACAGGAGAGGCCCATCTGGCCTATGAAGTTCAGTTCCTTGGTTACCCAGTGGTCACTCAGTAGGCTGGGGTTTGAAATGTTTTGCAATGTGCAGAGAAAACAAAGAAAAATGTAAAAACTTATTAGTCTTCTTCACTGAAAAATGAGATATGATTGTGTATATTTGCATAGACAGAAAGTATTTTTAGGGAAATTATTATTCAGTGTAAGGCACCAGCTAGTTCACAGACTTCAGGATGGGTGCAGCAACTTCACCAAGGTCCGAAAAGATTTCTATAGTTCTTTTTATTGTACTCTGAAGTCAAATTCATTAGTTTTGTCTACATCTGTAGAGCAAAGAATTGTGGTGCCACCTTTTTTCTCTGAAAGAGAGGAAACTGAGGATGGAAAAGACATCAAATTTATTACTAAAAAGGTACTTATAAAAGTGTCACTCTCTTAAATGTTCAGCTTAGCATTCCTATTGCTGGTAGTGCTTGGTTTGCTATTCCTGCCTACACCTCTAGTCGCAGGGAGCAGCCTTTTGTATGTTTCTGAGAATCCCAGGGCCCCCTGAACTCCAAATTGATTTTTTTTTTTCCCCCCCAAATTTAGAAGTAGAGAGCCGATGGATCTCTAAGGTGACTTCTTTGTTTTGAAAATGTTTCACATCCAAGGGGTTACATACTCTTTTTTCCATCCTATCCTCTGTGGTATCTAGCAGAGGCATTTTCCAAAGCACTTGTCATTTATCTAACTCTATTTTCTTTAATGGGAGCAGACTTACACTACTGGCAAGTGCTTTTGCAATTGTTGCATGTACGTGGTTTCAAACAAAGTGGGATGGATGGGAGGGCAAGCTCTGTGTTGTCCAGCACGAGAAAGCCTGACAATGGAATAAGAAACTCAGCAGTTTACATTTGGTTTCCTTGGGGGGGCGGGGAGTGTGGTGTTTCTTTTTGAGTCAGTCCCCTGAAGAGATTAGATCTTACCCTCCTTTATGGGGGAAGCTCTCAAAAAGCATAGCAATCCTGAGATCCCATTTGAAACTCATGAAATTTAGAAGTAAAGAGGAGGACAGGGGTCTTGTGTTGTTCCCTGAGACCTTCTCACCTGCAGAGCAACGCACCTTCTAAGTCCTGCAGCAAAGCAACCTCTTCCAGGCAATGTTCTCCAGTAGTATTAGTGGGCAGAGAGGGGACAGAGATGTGACCTTTCTCTGCACAGCTAGTGGCATTGGCTCACATAAAGGGACAAACTGCTGCTGAAGGCTGCAGCTTGCTGAATGAGCAGGGGTTCAAGGAAGAAAGTCACTGTTTAGCCATATCATGCTGTATTGTGCTGGTTCACCCAAGCTGTGGGCTCATGTGCAATGATCAGCTGGCAGAGATCGTCAGTCAGCAGAGCTCTGGTTGTGTCCAAGAGCCAAGGATGTGCCCCATATTGTTTTGGTCTGCCCAGCAGTGCTACATAGGTAGAAAACATTATTTTGCCAAGATAAAGTTTCGGAGGGTCCAGCCTGTGCCTCTCACATAGAGTCCTGAGGTCCCAGGGATTGCAGGAAGGGCCACCAAAAAACACAGAGCCTCCTTACCTACATCTGTTGGAGCCTGATCAAGACAGTATTTTTGATTGGGGGGAGTGGGGGGAAAGTAGTGCAAATAATACATGAAAAGACAGTACACATCATCATTTTTATAGGAACCGCAGAAAATTATTTCTATGTATTTGTGCTCCCTCTACTGGCTTTTCTGCTTTTACTGAAAGAAGTCACAGTAAATTTTGCCATTGATTTCAGTGGGAGCAGAAAAGAGGTAAAGGCCACATTCCTCATAAGAATAATGCTGATGGACAGTCAAAAGCAATTGAGTTAGTACTATACAAACTGCGATATCATTTGAAAAGTAACTAGAATTACACAAGTATAAAGACATCCTGAATTTATCTTATTGCCCGGGTAAAGACTTAGCCAAACTGTAGTGTTTGGCTAATGATAGCATATTTAGTCATAAGTTTAAAACCTTGTTTTCAGAAGAACTGAGTGCTCAAACTCAGAGGGCATTTGAAAATGGTGTCACACAGCATTTGGTGTCTTGTAACTTGATGAAAGAAGCTTCAGAAAGGGCAAAGAAGAGTACAAGACAAGTTTGGGAAAAGTTTTGAGAATGTCATGGAGAAAAAAATGAGGAAATAAATAATGCAGTGAAATGTTCCAGCTGCAGATGATCCTAGTTTAACTTTCAACTTGTCTCTTCCTTGGAAACTAAGTACTGCAGGAGAAAGAGAGGTGATTGCAAGTGATGATAGTAAGCTGCTGCTTGTTAGCTGAGTCACAATGATTGAACCTGTGTAGCCTGTTTCAGTTGCTAAGTAATGCATGCTAGCGCTTACTTTTTGCCTGAAGACTTAAATGCCTCAGATATTGTTTTCAGTCAGCTTTACTTAGGTAGACTACATGCCTTATTTATTCATACAACTTTTTCAAACTTGACAGACTAAAACCTCAATGTTTCCTCATAGAAATGGGTTCATAGTGTAAAGCAGTGCTTCTTTTTCTGTTTTGTAAATAGGTTGCTTTTTAATGTATATAAGCAATTCCATTGTAATCCTATTCCTCTTGTTTTTAAGAATAAATAGATGTTTCTGATTTATGTTCTTTAAACTACCCACAGTGGGGATTTAAATTACACTTAGTAGTTAAAGCTTCAGTGTTCTCACTGTTTTCCAAGATTTTGCTAATCTAAGCAGCAGCATCTATGCACACACCAAGAATTCTCCTAGAAGTTGTAACGGCTTTCTAAAGTGGGCAGCTGTTTACACTCCTGTTGTAGTCTGTGTCCTTTTTAGCTCTGTTCATAAACAAAATTTTCTTTGCCTTTAATAATTTGTACTGCCCATCTCCTAACCATTTCAATTTCCACACGAATCTCTTCAAGATTTGGTGATCAGAACTGAATGCCAAGATCACAGTGAAGATGCATCACTGTTTTGCATAATAACATTATAATATTTTCAGCATTATTTTCTGTCTTTATCTCAATACAGCCTAACCTCCTGCTTTTTTTCTAACTATCTCTGCTCATTGAACAGGTTTTTCAATAAGCAGATGTATCCACCATGGTACATCATTGCTTCTGAGGGGAGACCTCATCGTGCTCTACAACTACCTGAAAGGAGGTTGTAGCGAGGTGGGGGTTGGTCTCTTCTCCCAAGTACCCAGCGATAGGATGAGAGGAAATGGCCTCAAGTTGCGCCAAGGGAGGTTTAGACTGGACATTAGGAAAAACTTCTTTACTGAAAGAGTGGTCAGGCCTTGGAACAGGCTGCCCAGGTATGGTGGAGTCCCCATCCCTGGCAGTATTTAAAAGACGTGTAGATGAGGCGCTTAGGGACATGGTTTAGTGGGCATGGTGGTGTTGGGTTAACGGTTGGACTTGATGATCTTAGAGGTCTTTTCCAACCTTAATGATTCTATGATTCTATGATTCTATGATTCCCTGATTGTTACCATGTGAGTCATTAACATGGTTCCTTTTAATATGAATCACTTTGCACCTATCTACTCTGTATCTCATCCATCATAATGCTCCCCTGGCATGTTGTAAACAGGATCCGTAAGTTGTTCATGGTATTCTGTAAGAAATTCACTGTTCTTCTTGCTGATTCAACCATTGTTTACCATCTTTTCTTGCTGCTTGCTAAAACCATTCAAAAAATTTGGTATAAATCCTTTAATCTCTATTTGTAATCTCCTTTCTTGAAAAAGGACAATTTATTCCCTAATTTTATGTTTCTTGCTTTTAAGCTGTTTATATCTCGTAATAGAAGAGTACCTTGTAACCTTAACTTCTGCACTTCCTCCGTGCCTCTCAGGAGGGATTTTGTCAAAATCCAGGTTGTATGGCTAAAAGCACGATTTTTTTCAAGAACAGATGAGCTTGTTGTAACAACATGTTAGCATTGTCATTTGCTATCAAATTTGCAAACCTTGTTTTAAGGTGTTCTTTCATATCTTTAACAACACTTGTTAACACCAACACAACTGACAGAAGAACTTGAACCATGAATTGGAGTCTTGTGAAATTTAGGAAAGGATTCACCTTGCTTAACTTAGTCATAGAGCAGGTAGGTATCTGGTGGAAGCTAGTTAACTAGATTTCCCATAAAGACATAGACAAGGAGACATATGCATGTCCAAGGGGCAACTCAAGCTGTCAAAATAAAATGATTTTTAGATAGGTTGAATCTCTGTTAGGTTTCTTAAGGTATCTGTTGTCTCCATTGATGTGAGAGGGAGCTAGGGTAGCTATTTTAGGATAGACAATTAGTTCTTAAATGAGTGAAATTAGGTAAGAAGAATCCAGCTGCCAGTGATCACTGGGGTTCAAAACACATTGTTGTTTACGAATTCTTTAAACAGCTTTCCTAATAATTGGTGTTCTCATAACTATTTTCTTGCCCACAGCACACAGAAGCAACTTCTACACGTTACGTTGTTCTCCAGTGTAACTCATCATCAGGTTCCCTTCTTGCTGTTGTCTGGCTCTTTCCTTCTACATACTAGATTCATTAAATCAGGCCTGTAGTCCCAGTTGTCCTCAGTCTTGTTTTATCTACACTGCCTGCCAGAACTTTTCATATTTCATCGTGTCTTATAGCACTACCCGCTTTGAGCTTCTGCCAACTCTAACACAATAAAATGAGCTACTAGGCAGCATT